TGAGCTAGCATATTTCCAGAAGATGAATTTCCTGGAAATAATTTCTTATGCGGATTGATATGTTCTGGTTTTCAAAGTGCTTGCACATCCATACATATGATCTGGGTAGAACAGGTACTGTTTTGTTAGTGAATAAAACAGAGCATCAGAAAGGCAAACTGATATGCTCGAAAGGTCACATAGGTGGAGACAACAGAGTTGAAAGGAACCCAAGTCCCCAGACACCTGGTCCCCAAATAATTTCTAATTCCCCAGAAGAACATTCCCCGTACCACCCACTCATGGGCAAAGCGCAAAGCACTGCTCTACAGTTATAGGAAGCATGAAGAATTTGAACAACTTACAAAATTATGTGCTTTCCAATGTAGTTTAAGAGTGTATTTCTCAATGCAGTTTAATATTAAAATGCGGAGGCATTAAATCCACTGCCTATTTTCATTGTATGTATCAACTCTGTGTTGATAACAGTGCAAAATGCACCCCCTCACTTCCTTTTGGTCAAGGCAGCAGACTTATGCATGTCAAGTTTCCAGAAGCAAAACTGTTTCATCCTCAGGAACAATTCATTCAGGGCACATAAAATTTCGACCTAGATCAGTCAGTTCTAGCTCTTTCTCTTGGCTTCTTCAAATATGGTATAAACCAGTTGACCTTAGACTATGGACTATGATTTCTTCTCCCTGATCTCCAGTCAGATTTGAGTTGTTAAAGACGGGCTTACAGTGGGTTGGGAGCCAAGACAGTTTTACTAATTAGAGCAGACCTTTTGATTTCTGCGGAGAACCATAGCTACTGTTGGTTCACCGTGGGATGAACAATGTTCTGAGGCTCTAGGTCATGGATCAGAGCACAAAGGCTTTGCAAAAATGTATTTCTGCGAAGAATTATGGCTGTTGAGAAGGAACCAGAAGGAAGTGAAGAAAGCAGAGAACTCACTCCAGGGAACTGGTGTTCCCTGGATTCCAGTACTGGCAGAAAAATAAAGTCTCAGCCCAGTTGAGGGAGTTGGCAATTAAAAGACTCCGATCTTTCCAGGGTGGGAGGGACCTGGAAGAGAGCCTGTGTTCCTTGGTCAGGCCTGGCTGAATGCTGACTGTCATTTCCCTCCATCTGCTTTGTGCTTTATTCTATTCTTTTTCCAACAGCCCAAATTATACTTGTTGCTAGGCATGTGACCCTCACAGGAAAGTTCTGAGTCTCAGGAAAGTAGAGCACAGAGAAGAAAATGAAGGAAGAAAGGGGGTGAACTTGGGCAGATATACCATGGCCCTCAGTGAAAGTGGGAAGTCCCATTGCAGACAGGCTGCAAGATAAGCTTCTAAATTTCACCTCTCCATTTTCTAAGAATGCAAGCTCACAGACTTGAAATTGTTAAATGAAAACGTATTCCACAGTTAGATTAACACAGGAGATGAACAATAATGTGGAGATACAGAAAAGAGGGAAAATGTAAAATATATTCCCAGTATACATATGCATATCCATGAGAAGTTTTACGTGTAACATACACACCCTCTGAAATGTGGCTGTCAAAGAAAGGGAGACCATTGAGACATCAGAGGCAAATAACACACAGTTAACACATAATCCAATGGACTCATGGCCTGTTTTCTACAAAGGAGGCTTGAAATTGCATCTTTAATATGCTCTGTGAACTTCCAAGTGTGAGATACAACCTGCAGCAGATGCTACCTTACAGTGCTCTCTCACCACAGAGCCCTATTCCTTTCAAAGGCAGCTCATAGGCTCACTGGGAAATATTCAGTAGGAAAATATCTTCAAGTTCTTTACAGCCCTGAAATACTATGATTTTAGAAGAAGTCCAGATTTTTGAAAACAAATTAATATGCTAAAGAAAAATGTCCTGTCAGGCTCCCAAACCCTTTAGAAACAAATCTTGCAGGTGCTTATCAATACATGTACTATAGGGAACTAATAACTCGGATGAGTGAGGCTGAGATTCAGCCCAGTCTCCTTATGAGTTGATTACGGCTACAATATTCATCACTCATTGCTCAGCCCAGTGAGCTCATTTGTCAACTTAATGGATTTCTGCGACTTATTTTAACTTCTTAAAAAAAAAATATTTTTCTCTTTTGTCATATGTGCTTTATAGATAAAGTGGATACTCCTGCATCAATGAAATGCAAGAGTTAACAGAAGGATAATTTAATTTTGTAAATTAGACATAAATTGACCCATGGAATTGAGAGACTGGCCATGATGCAAGAAATCTTGGTGTGTGTGGGTATGCTTAACTGTAAACAAGACTATTTTAAGTCATCTCAGAAACAGATCCCATGGTAACATTCTTGAAAAAAAAGTATATGGGAAGGCAAAAGATAGAGGTCACCTGTAAAAGCACAGATCATCATTAATATTTATGGCTATATGTGCTGTTCTAGGGGAGTACTAAGCAATCTGGACTTTGCCTGGAGTTACTGGTGGACAATTATGAAATGCAAGTGCCTGGGCCCTGCTCCAGGAAATTCTGACCCAGCAAGCCTGGAAGGAGTCCAGCTCCCTAGATTTTTGTAAAAGTCCAAGGGTGATCTTGACGTGTAGTCAAAGGGGAGATCTACTGCATACCTTGCAGGATGTGGTGAGTACTGTGATGTGCTGCCTAAATGCCCTCACCATGGGTTCAAGACAACATTCCCTTACCACGGAGAGTGTTGGATACTGAGTACTCACTCACAGTGAAGTCCTTCGCTAGGATTTGCCCTCCTTGGTGAAAGGGACCTGCCTCACCCAAGGTCATGTTCATTTCCTCAAGTCAGCCTATACCTGATGGCTAGTTTAATGGGAAGAGGGGACAACAAAAGCCCATTCCACTTAACTCAATTTGTGGCAACCCTGAAGGGGTCTTAAATCCTACTTGTCAATGAAATGAAGTTATGTGGTATGGGGGAAGGTATTGGCTTTGAAGCCCGAAGGCTTATGCTCAAAGCTATTTTTGCCTATTGCTGCTAGTGGCTTAGTCGAGCCACGTCACCTCTTGAATCTTAGTTTTTTAACTTTACAAATGGGGACAGCAACAACAATAACAACAACGATATCTACTTCCGAGAGTATTTGTGAAGATTCATAAGAGTATAAATCTAAACTATAAATCACATAAAATACTGGTAGTTACTGTTCTAAAATGTTCTTAGATCTAAAAGCCCCCACATATTATGTGAGAAAAGGATATTCAGGTACTGTGCTGCTGGAAGTACAAAAATGTTTTAATTCCCAAATGTGTATGCACTTAACATTCTCTACTGCAAGTGTTTACTGAATTGAAATAATAAAATGTAATGGTATTATTTGTGTATTCTGCTGCTTCTATACAGAACTAAAATCGGCCATAAAAAGAAGTAGTCTGGGAGCCAAGACAATTTGGTGGGGAAAGAACAGTCTTTTGGACAAATGGCTCTGGAACAAGTGAATAGCCCCATGCAAAAGAATGGAGTTGGACCCTTACCTCACACCATGTATGAAAAGTAACTCAGAATGAATCTAAGCATAGGTGTAGAACTGTAAAATTCTGAGAAGGAAAGAGGTGTAAAATCTTCATAGTCTTGGGTTAGGCAGTGGATTTGTAGCCCCATCACCAAAGCAGAAGAGATAGAAGAAAAAACAGATAAGCTAGACTTTATCAAAACGAGAACATTCTGTGTTTCTAAAGATAGTATTAAGAAAGCAAAAAAGAAAATAGCCTGAATAGGAGAAAATCTTAAATCATAAATCTGATAGGATACTTATATCTAGAATATATAAAACAACTCTCACAACAATAAAAAGACAACCTAATTTAAAAAATGGCCAAGAAACTTGAGTATCTATTTCTCCAGAGACAATACACGAAACGGCCAATAAACAAACAAAAAATACTCAACATCATTCATTAGGGAAATTCAAACCAAACCCATAATGAGATATCATTTACACCTATAAGGATGGTTATAATAAAAAAGAGAAAGTAATTACTGGCAATGATACAGAAATTGGAGTCCTCATACACTATGGGAATATAAAATGGTATAGCTGTTTTTGAAAACATTCTGGCAGTTTCTCAGAATGTTAAGCATTGAATTGCCATATAAATCTGCAATTCTATGTGTAGAATAATAAAAATATGTCTGCATAAAAACTAATACACAATGTTTACAGCAGCATTAGTCATAATAGTGAAACAGTGGTAACATCCCAAATGGATAAATAGAATGTGGTATATCCAGAAAATGGAATACTACCTGGCAATAAATATAAACGAACCACTGATAACATCCTATAGCATAGATGAGTCTTGGAAATATTAAATTAAGTGAAAGAAGTCAGTCACAAAAGACCACATATTGTATGATTCTATTCAACATGAAATGCCCAGACTAGGCAAATCTATAGGGAAAGAAAATAGTTTAGTGGTTGCACAGGGATAAGATAAGGGAAAATAGTAGTGGCTGCTAGCAGATACAAGGTTTCTTTCTAGAGTTATGAAATGTTCTAAAACTGATTAGGTATGGTTGCACAACTCTGTAAATATACTAAAAACCACTGAATTGTACACTTTAAGTAGGTGGATTGTATGGTATGTGAATAATACCTTAATAACATTGTTATTTTAAAAATAATCCCAAGCTGAAGAAATAGGACAGAGGGTAACCAGAATTTAAATATAACTCATGGAAAAATATGATGACTATTTTGCTTTGATTTTTAAGTGAACACAGTAACCGTCTGCCATTAAATAAATCACAAGTCTAACGGCGTGGGAAAGAGACTGGCCAGGAAAAAATGACTGTGCCCTGGAAGAATTCAGATTCTTTCAAAAATGGACTCAAAATTCTCAGCCACTGAAATCAGACTCAAGGAACCAATAACCTACTGCTAGCTGATCCCAATTTATGCCTGCTAGCAAAAGACAGTATTTTAAAATGGGCCTTCAAAAGTCATTTTAGCAGTAAATGCAAGAATCATTTGCAGTAACTACTTTTACCAAATTGCTAAAACATTACCTGTGAGCTTTCAGGATCCTCTGAGCAATGGCATCACCTATCTTGTTGAATACAACTTTGTCATCAGCACAACTTATGAAAAACTGGTTCTACGAGAAATAGAGTAATCCTATAAGTCTTTCTTATCTTAGTAGTAAATATATAAGGACAGTGTGCTATATAACAGACACTACACTGATATTAAAAAAAAACATTTCACATAGCAGACATGTTCTTATTACTAAAATCATTTAGGAAAGTAAATGATGTCGAGAATAAGAGAAGCCTCATCTCAACTCTGGGTTTCGTGTACGTCTATACCCACATCTAATACCTCAGTCAAGTGGGAGGCTATGCTAGTATTTCATCATCTGAATTCTTTGTCGCTTACATTTTTAAAATTTACATTCCAAATTTAATCAGTAGGGATATCAGGTTTACAAATACAAGTATTGTGTAAATGCTCATGATTTAAAATCCTATACAGGTAAACATTCTGTCTCATGCTAAGTTTACCTTTCTAGCAGGATAGATGGCAGGATCATGGTCTGATTTTCTCCACCCATCCTCTATTACCTCCTAGTATCTGCTCTTGCCTTGTTTCACTTGTTTGCCTTTCTTATTTTTTCTGAACATCTATTTTAAGTAGCTTCAAATCTCTTTCACAAGTATGTTTCATATATAAAATAAATTAATAAAATGGAAAAAGAAACAACTTTCCTTTTTTGCTTTGAGTAATCTGTACGATTCATTTGCCTATAAAATATTATTTAAAACTTTTACTAAAAACTGGGGCAAGACATTATTATCATAATGGTATAAAAGATTTAGTTGCTATATAAAGGAATGTTAGTAATTCGGTATAAATACCACTACTACATATTTACATACATTGTTATGAGATACTTGTGATTTTTAAGTCTAATCAAGACAAAGTAATCTTTGCAGATCATCTTAAAGAGACATATGAGCAACGACTCAAACTATGGTTGTCATCCCTTTGCAACATCACTGCTTTTACTAGTTTACATGTTTTTATACTTAAGTACAGAAGTCTGTAAACTGCCTCTATAACACAAACTTACCAGAAGACATTGTGCGGAAATCATTTGAGAATGTGTTTCCCCTTAAGGCATCAAACAATAAAAATTTCAGTGGCAATCAAACCACATTTGTTTTTCTGAATTCATATTACAGAGAGGCTTAGCATTCCTCAGCTGTAAACATGGCCACGTGTCATGGCCTGCTCTTTTGTGAGGAGAGCAGGGTAAATCCCAACCACGTACCTCTGCTAGAGGTGTTAACTACCAGGTTTGTGTCCATAACCATGTGTAGCCACATGGCATTACTGACCTCATTTAGGGCTGTGATAGCATTAATAAGAAAAGCTGACTTAATGCTACTAAAAAGAGATAAAGCAAAAGGATTCTGGGTGATGGGTGAGGCAGCCATTAATATCTTATATTGTTATTATAATTGTTGAAATTAATAACACTATTTGTATTAGTACAGTAACTATTTGTATTAGTACAGTAACAAAGCTCCAGACTTTGATATTCAGAGTCCTTTTTCTGTTGCATAGTCTCATCCAGGATACCGTATTGCATTTGGCCTGCTAATATTTTTAATCAGCTTCTCTTTCTCCAGGCCTGTGAAATAAATATAGCTCTAATTCTTTCCTACTTGCCCTTAGTGCGTAGTCACTGCATGAAAGGCAGAGGGCCAGACTCAAGGGGAAGGAATATAGGGTCAGGATGATTTTCTCTGGGAAACTCATCTCCTTTACATATTACAAAAAAAAAAAAAAAATGTTCAATGGGAAAGATAAGGCTAAAATAAAGGCAGGAGATGTGCTCTGATTTACTTTTACACTATCAGAACTTTTTTTCCCAGGATTTCCCACATGCTCTGAGCTAGCTTTATATCTACTTTTAAGTTCATTTAAATCTAAACCCGGTGTCTCTAGATTTTCTTCTATTCTCTGAACACAAACTCTGGGATCTGACAAAAATTTTAAATGAAGAGTAGTTCATAGAGGATTGAAAAAGGTGGTACATGCCCTCAATATTCTCACATCTTCCTTTTCTATGTTCCTTTCCCTATACTCTCCCTATTCTAATATCCAGTAGCATCTAAGCCAGTAGCATCTAATATCCAGTAGCATCTAAGCCAGTAGCATCCAATCATCTCCATTTTCACAACTTCCTCTTGTGTGTGCTCTCCTGAAGCAGCTCCTGCTTTACACTTGGACCTTCCAACTCAAGACAAATAAGAATGTACTCATCCATTTGTGGTATTTCTGGTTAATAATATAGTAAGTTATACATTTTAATAATAAGATCTTGGGGGGTTCCTATTAGAGTTCTGAGTTAATGAAATTGCAATGTGAATGTCAATTATGCTGAGGAGGTAAAAATTCAGGTTACCTGAATTCCCATCTCAACGTAGGCCGATTAACATAGCAGATCCTGAGTTTGGGGACCCTGCAGTGTCTGTGAGCCATTTATGGGAAGGCAGGTTGTCATACCAATTTACATGATCAGGACTTACTTCTATATAGATATAGTGCTTGCTGTTCTCTATTACATGGATATACGCAGCATGGATGGACTCTTCATGGTATTTTATACCAGCCGACCAATCAGCAGCAGAGCGGAGCAACTGTAAGGCAGCAATCAGAAATGGGTAAACAATGGAGATGACACCAGATATATTAATAGAATGAAATCTGTTCTTCTTTGTCTACACAACTGAATGATTACAGTGGCCTGGGTGCCACGTGTGGGCCAAGGGAGAGTAGGTGGTTGGGAAACTGGTCCTTGGACATTATCTACAAGGAAGGAGCCCAGCTAGAATCAAGTCCTGAATATATCTTCCTCCACCCAGGATTATTTTCAGTCAAAATTAGACACCACCAAGTATGGCTTCTACCAAGAGTTGTTCAAAAGTACCTCTTTTGGTACCTATGAGTAGGGTGACCATTGGTATTCTTTTTCCATGATGGTTCCACAATTACTATTTATTAATAGTACCACTTTTACTCTCCAAAGTGCCCTGGTTTGAGTCATGTGATATGGTCATCCTAGCTCTGACTTGATAATGTGCTGATTCCTTTTCCCCCAAGAGACAGTGCTCAGATTAATACATTTTAAAATACCAATAGATTCATTTAGAGATATAATCTTGACTGTGGCTTTAATTGGCTTTCTGATTCTTAGTGTATCTCTTCATTGCTCAGCTTTCTCAGTCATACTGTCTCCCTCTATTCGGACACTCACCTGCTCCTACTTGGATTACTTAAGAGCTTACAGCTCAGGTATCTGAGTATTTGTTAAGTATGCTGATACCTAGTGAGATCACCTAGTTCAAAGCTTAGCCCAACTACTTTGTAGCTTTGATCTTGGTAAAGTTTCTCAAACTCCTGGTGTTTCAGATTTCTGTTCTGTTCAGTTGAACATCTATTTTATAGGATTTTAGAGAGGATGAAATGAATTTCTATGAAATGTGCAGGAGGCCTGTTACCTAGTATGTGGTATATAAGTGTTTGCTATTACTAATGAGAACATTAGAGGATGCATTTGAGCTGTGGCAGATCACGTTGAAGAGTTATCTCTGACATGACCGTGCACAGGAGGGCGGACTGGAAGACATGCAAACCTTCAGCACTAAGAACCATTGTTGGTCTCTTTTCCAGCATTCTAACTATGACTGCAGTACAATGTTGGGCATAGAGTAGTGTTCAATAAAAACTTAACAATTGATCTTCCTTGAGCAGTAGCATGACATTGCAGAAGAATCATTATTTGCTCTTCCTGATTTGAAATGAATATTGAAACTCTCATGAGGTCAATTGAAATGGAAAATAAAAGAATTGTTCCACATTATTAGGAATGTATAAAGCAATCCAGTACATAATTGGTTTTATGTCTGTTATATATAAAAGATGGTAAAATTCTTGATATAATCAATAGCTTAAAAAATAGCCTCTATAACACTAATTAAATTCAAACTAGTACTCACTAAATCATTGACTGTATTATCCTCAAAATGTTATTCCTTTATTTAGTATGAGGTATTTATTACAAAATAGTTTTCCTCGAAACACTTAAATTTTATCAGATGAAAATGCACAATTGGAAAATTTAATGTGAACAGCAACAGGCAAATATCTCAAAAGAAAACTCATAATGGGGACACCTGGGTAGTTCAGTTGGTGAAACGTCTGACTCTTGATTTCAACTCAGATCATGATCTCACAGTTCATGAGTTCAAGCTCCACCCTGATAGTGTGGAGACAGCTTGGGATTCCCTCTCTCTTTGTCCCCACTTTCACACTTGTTCTCTCTCTCCCTCAAAAAAAAAAAAATCCCACCAACCCCCCCCAAAAAAACTAAAAAAAAACCTCTAAGGAAAATATAAATAAATAAGATTCACACTGGGAAAATATCCTGATTCATAATCTCTAAGGAACATTATTGCCCATCAGTAGAAATAACACAATATTGAAGTTTTATTTGTTAGTCCACTCAAATTTATATTGAATTTTGTTGCTAAGGGGCATAGCCCTAAAAATGCAGGCTACCTTGAGAAGATTCTTATGCTACACATACTGATCTGATTCTGCTGGGAACGATGTATAAAACTGTAGAGTATACTGGACAGATACGAACTCTGGAGATCTGTGTTACAGCTCTGCCGTTACTAGCTCTTTCCCCTTGAACAAGTCATTTTAATATCACGGAGGCTCAGTTTCCTCCACTGTACAACTGAACTCTCTCTCTCTCTCTCTCTCTCTGACTTATTCCCTCCCACCTCGACACCCCACAGCTACTGGGTAAGGAAATTAATGGCATAACAAACACAAAGAAGTACAGAATGTGGCATGTAGTATATATTTGATGTATAGGATTTCTACCTCTGAAAACTTCCAGGCAAAATTTATATACCATCCTTGGTGGTGATTTCTGTCTTCCCCTCAAATCTCGAAATCTTATACTCTTCTTTCCTTTTTCACTCTCAAAATGTGCCCTGATTCAAAGATTTAATAAACCCATTAACATACGATAGAAATTAGGAATGCCAAATAGCGTTCAAGTCTAATTTGAAGTGGCTTCCTGGACAGCTATGCTGAAGAGAGGCTCCCTTGGAACTAGACATGCTGGGGAGGAAAGCTAAGGGTGATGGCCAATGGCTGCCATGAAGGCCAAGTAGGCAGGTCATATATCTGCCATCTTTCTTGTGAAAGGTAACAATAAATGTTTCCCTTTATGGAGGGCTTTAAATGTTTAAAATAAATATATTTGTTTTTTTTTTAATGGTCATTTCTTTTTGAGATAGAGAGTATGAGTGGAGGAGGGGCCAAGATAGGAGGGGGACAGAGGATCCAAAGTAGGCTCCACACTGACAGCAGAGAGCCCAATGCAGGGCTTAAACTCACAAACTGTGAGATCATGACCTGAGCTGAAGTTGGATGTTCAACTGACTAAGCCACCCAGGTACCCCTAAAATAAGTACGTTTGTAGGCCAAAAGAAGACCATGAAGGACAGCATAAGCAAGGTGGAGGGGAGCCCCCTAATGCCTATTAAACCTCAGCATGTCAGAGCCTGCCCCCCCTCCTCAGGGGGCTTCCACATTACCATTACTCCCATTGTGGGAGTCCAAACTTGTATTATTTTTTCACAGCGAAAATGCATTTAATTTTTAAAAGTCGTCATTTTGTATTAAACTTGAACATACTTCTCAAGTAACACAGAGTAAAAATAACTTGGGAGTACTATTTATTTACTATTATTCTAATTAGTTAAAATCTATCACCACACACACAAAAAAACTAAAAATACAGATTTCCCTTTGGTCCAGCCTCTACCCCTGAACCAGGGACCCTGAGGTGATCTACAAATCAACTTAACTGCTTTAAATGTTTGACGGTCTAGAAAGCTTATAAACAGCCACATAGGTCAAACACTTCGTGACTGACTCCGTTCCGTTTTGCTTTGTTTTTTAATGTTTTATTTATTTCTGAGAGAGAGAGGCAGTGTAAGCAGGGGAGGGTCAGAGAGAGAGGGAGACACAGAATCTGAAACATGCTCCAGGCTCTGAGCTAGCTGTCAGCACAGAGCCTGACGTGGGGCTCAAACCCATGAACCATGAGAACATGAGCTGAGCCAAAGTCGGACGGTTAACCGACTGAGCCACCCAGGTGCCCCCTTCTGTTCTAAATTTAAGATTTATTCTCCCCTTTTTCTTATCTGACCAACTTGTCCTGCGTTTTTGTTTTTAACCAGTGTAACTGAGACAAGCCTCAAACCCTTGCTCACACATGTAGAAATGGGCTTCATCTTACTCCCTACCCCAAGTATATACCGAGAATCAAATCTAACCCTCACCTTTGAAACCTCAAGTTTGAATACACAATTTTAAAGTGTATAAAAAGAGCATATTTCTAATTTTATGTTTTAGCCTCAAAACCGTAACTAGACCCAGTTATTTTCCATTGTATCTGTCCTATTTTTTAACTTTAAAGATAGCCTTCTCAAGTGAAATAGGTGAAGGGGATTAAGAGGTCAAAGTTCTTGTTATAAAATAAATAGGTCACAGAGATGGAAATAAAGAATATGGTCAATGCTACTGTACTAATGTTGTAGAGTGACAGATGGTGACCACACTTACCATGGTGAGCTCTGAGCAATGTACCTAATGGTTGAATCACTTTGTGTAGATAGATAGATAGATAGATAGATAGATAGATAGATAGACAGATAGATAACCTCTTTCTCCACAAGCCCTGACTCCTTTATATACAGTGGGCCCAAGTTGAATATACAGATTGATATACAGAATTCTCTTCTTTTATTTTTAATGGTTTTTTTTAAATTTATTTATTTCTAGGAGAGAGAGAGAGAGAGAGACAGCGTGAGCAGGGGAGGGTCAGAGAGAGAGGGAGACACAGAATCTGAAGCAGGCTCCAGGCTCTGAGCTGGCAGTCAGCACAGTGCCCGACGCGGGGCTCGAACCCACGAACAGCGAGATCATGACCTAAGCGAAAGTCGGACGCTTAACCGACTAAGCCACCCAGGCGCCCCTACAGAATTCTCTTCTTGAAGGAAAACTTTCAAAACTTCCTTAGTAATTGTCCCAAGTTGCTTTTCTCTTACTATTATGCCTTTCTTCCCTATAAATTCAGCACATATCTTAATTTCTCTTTATTTCCCTTAGCTCCCAAGTAAGTCACGGACCAGAGATTGCTAGGGCAAGAGCACTTTCATAGGCAAGCAGAGGTTGGCCTCCATGCAGTCAGGAGACCAGGGGTGCACTCAGACTGGTGGGCCTCACTCTGCCAGTCTGTACTGAGGAGCATAGACTAGAAGCACCAAGAAATAGGAATTTGTTCAAGGATCTGCCTCATACTGTCAGGCTCTTCCTTCTGATATTGAAGGAGATAATCCACAAAAGCTCAGGACAGTGCTGGACAGGGAGTAAACACTCTCCATTTAAGGGGCTTCTCCTGTCCAGTAGCAAGCACAGAAGTGTTACTACATGAAGGCCCCGTCCATAAATGGAAAACAGCTTCCATGTTAGGAAACTGCCTTAGAAGTAAGTTAAGTGGCTTTCTTTTATCCTCACCTATCTACTTTACTTTTTCACAATACAAAACATCTTG